TGCTGAATAAACTTGTCTCTTTCATTATCAAATACTCTAGTTTTCTGAAACCTGTTACAATTACAAATGTGCTAGTCCTAATGTGCTTGTATTTACTATGGTGTGCAAACAGGCAGGTATTTGCACCTTACCATTCCTCCATTTATTTATTGTTTACATATTCAGCATTAAAAGGCATTGTCAAACTTCCTGTAAGCAAATTATCACCAAACTATTGGCACATCTCTGTACAAGATATTAAAGGTTTCCAAGTGTTCAATTTTTTCTTATGTAACTTTTTGCAAGTTTGATAAGTCTGTGTTTACATACTATTACTGTTACATATGGAATTCAATAAAGTTCTGATTTATGTTTTGACCGTTTAATTTCTTGTGTTGCATTTTCCAAAGCATGTTGCACTGCTAGTCTTTCTCTATCGTAGATGGCACAACACATTGAATTGCACCACTGTTTGAATGATAGAAACACCTTTCTCCTATTAGTGGATTGTACAAGATAGTGCATGGTATTTTTCTTAATGCATTTGTATTATATTTAACTTTCAAAATCTTAACTGATGAAGCCTATCATTTGTTGGACCAATTTCTGTTCTCCAACAGAAGTTGGTCCAATACAAGATATTACCACGTCCACACCCACCTTGTCTGCCTGATATCCTGGGATTGATATGGCAACAACTACACTGAATACAAAGCCTATCATGTTAGTACTGCACTGAGAATATATTTGTCGCACAGTTAAACATTGCACCCCTTCTCAGGAATATTTTTTTTAATTGAATCTCTCCTACCACTGCAACCTTTCAGTTGCCCAACTTCTCTCTCCCTACCCATTATTATTTTTCTTCCTCTCTTCCCTCCTTTACCCTCTCTCTCCCTCAGTTTCTCTCTTTACTTACTCCCCTGTCTTACTCCAACAATTCTATTCCCATTCTTCTCCTGCACTCTAACCCCAACCAGTTAGGTCCTCATGATCCCATGACCTTGCCACCTCACTGGGCCACTTTAGGGGCTGCATTGGCTGGTTATGTGTCTCTAGTGCAGCAAGAATTGCAGATATACCTCCAGGGAGGCTTTCTGCTGGTATGAGCAAGCTGCCCTGAGATACATCCACTGTCTTACCTCATGGCTAAATCAAGCTACTGATTATTATTATTATTATTGGTAACTAAATACTTTCTAGCAAGCTCCTTAGAATATACTTTTTACCACGCATTCTTGTATTTTTAGACATTTTATATTAATGTAAAGTTCCGTTGTATCATGGCTGTTCTTTTATTCTATATTTATGAAGACGTGTACATTTTAAAATACTGTTTGATGTCTACAAGCCTGAATGTTCAGAAGAGAAGTCCACCCATATAAAAGGTCAGCTAGCACAAGAGGACGGAGGAGAAGACACAGGTGAGGGGGTATTTGTGACATCAGGTCTGAATTTCAAAAAATGCCATCTACAACTGCACACCTAATATGCTACTGTGATTACTGAGGTTGTATGCGAATAGCCAGTTATGCACCCAATTGGCCATTTGAATCAGTAAATACATGATTTGCATTCACAGTTGTAACTACACCTTCATTGCTTAATCTCTTCTCTCACTCTTCTCCTTTCCAGACTAAATAGTCCTAGTTTTTTTTTCTCTATTTGTATAGCATCTCTTTTTCCTTCCTGACTTTTACTGCTCTGCTTGCTGTCTCTTTTGGCAATTCATCCTGAAGAGCTCAAGTTCTCTGGTGTGAAGTTATGCTGCCACTTTAATGCATTTGGAATGCTGATAAATCTAGTCATGATCATTTAATTTTTTCCAAGAGAATGTAATTTTAATTTAACTAGTGAGATTGATTCCTCAAATACATTTCCAATTGTTGCAATTATGTGAATGAATAAAATTGTCAGCAGGCCTCCCAAGCCTCCCTCATTTGAGTTGAGTTTTAAGGCAAGTATTAAAAGTTTCTCACTCTGACAAAGAATTTCTGTGTTCAATTAAAATTATAAAATGTAACTGTTTTAAAAGGGTCACTGTCAGATTAAAAATCTTACTTAAAATCATTTACTTCCCAGCGTTATAACCCCTTAGATTATTACTGAAATAATTTTAAGAATCCAGATTGCATACTCCTTACTATTCTGGATTGCTTTTGCTTTTCTTTCAGCTTGGTCAATGGAGATTGGCTAATTAAAGTTTTGTTTATTATAACTGAAATATTTATTCAGTACCCATAAAGCAAGGATTAAAGACTAGCCAAGGTGAAAAACTGTTCCCCTATTCCCCTTGCAATTTAATGGAATAATGCAATTGTGTACTCTTCATAGATTGTCAACTCTCTCTCTTTTTTTTAATATAACTTCCTAAATATCTTCTGTTTTTCCCTTCTGGAGTTCTCTGATTGTCTCTCAAACCCCTCCCCCTAATCATGCTATATTGTTGTTCCTCCATTACTTTCACTATCTTCAGGTACTTCTCTTTCTCATACTTCATTGTGTTCTCTACTTCTTTTTTTTCCCCCTCCCTTTCAAAAACTCTCTCCCATACTCATCTCTCAGCTTCACCCATCCATGTCTACCTAGTTCACATTCACCCTGGTCCATCCAGATATGGGTTTTTGAAATAATCCTTCTGGCCAATGAATGGTAGGTTGACCCTAAGGTACAGAGGCAATGTCCAAGTGACAAGCCTGCTCCATTGCGCACCTCAATTGCTGGAAAAGTAGATGATGCCCATGGACACTGCCTGGTGATCTACTTTTTGTATCCACCTCCAGCTAGTGTCAGGTCACTGATAAATATTTATGCCCCACAACCCCTCTCATTGCAGGAAGGGAGAAGAGAATTCCTTCTCTGTTCCCATCCCACCACAGAATCACTTTGCCATTGGGAGGTCTCACACTACTCTACCTCTTCCCAGTCTCCTCGCTCCTGTGATGGAAGTCTCTTTGCTACTCTTTCCCTCACTCAACCTCTCTTTTAGACAACTCCTCTCCAGTGATTAGCTCCAGTGCCAACCTCATGTGTTGTTCATAGCTTTTTCAAGCAGCAATAGAGTGAAATTGTCCAAAGCTCTGAACAGAAATGGTAAAAGTTGCAAAGACTGTAGTTAGTTTTCACCCTGCAGCAGGTTGGCAAACTTATGAATGTCAGCATGGAGCTGTCCATCTCCATGTTAGGAAATCAATACTGCATCCTTTTACACTCAGTTCATGTTTTTTGTATCCATCAAGACTAGCATTTGTTTTAATGAAAACTTAGATTCTGTGGATGCTAATGGAAGCTTTTCCAGGCAAGTGCCTACTTATTGTGTTCACGATTTTCATGCACTGATTAAAGTAATACTTTTCATTTCTACAACATTTTCCATAAAAAAAAATCCTCAAAATCTTTACAAAAATGAGTGTCTCAATATGAAAATCTCACATTTCTGTTTGAAAATATTGCACCTACCATAGTTAAAAGAAACACCTACTATCACCAGGCCAGAGGTCAATGAACAGGATTTTGCTGCAGTTTTAATAAATGTTTACATTGTGCATTTGATAGCACTTTACATATGATCAATTTCACTGTTCTGTATAGTAGGCCTTGATTCTGCAATCACATATTTGCAGTTAACTTTATATGCATGACTTCCATGGCACCAATTATTTGCTTAAAGATGAGCATATGTATATGCATAAACATTCACAGGATTGGGACTATGGCCCTAATCCTGCAACAATTTCATTAGTCAGCTTCAATTTACCACAGTGATGGAACTACTCACAGTAGTAAAGTATTGTTATCCCTATTAAACAGGCAATGGAAACTGAGCCAGAGACAGAAGAGGCATTCCACTCTGAAAAATTACATCTTGTCTCCTATCGACTTCCATAATAAAATATGCTTAGTTTACATGGGAAATTTTTTCATTTTTTTTTCTGTAAATTCAACCTGGGATCTGAAAGTCAAGCTGGGTTCTTTCCTTCTCATTCACCAAAAATAGGCCAAATTTTAGTCTTGAGCATTAGTCCTGTAACGAGGTCAACCCAGGCAATTGTTGTGGCATCAAGATCTTAGTTACACCCAGGTGTTCTGGAACAATTTGTGTAGTGGGGATGCTGAGAACCATTGAACCAAACTATAAACCCTGTATATGGTTAGCACCCACACTTCCAGCACCTGTGGTTACACCTCTGCAACTATTGTTTTTAAATTGTCCCCTCAATGACACCTCAATTGCTTTTACAGCATTTGCACAGGCATAAATGACTGAGGGTGCCTTAGAAGAAATATAATCTAGTTAATTCCCTTTTATCTTTGTTGGTTCTGTAGTGGTAACAACTGTAAAACCTCACTTTAATCACTTCAATCAGCAGGTGTGACATGTGAGTCTAAACGGGCAGTAGATGGGGTGAGTAAAAAGGCAACATCTGAAGAAGTGGGCTGTAGTCCACGAAAGCTTATGCTCTAATAAATTTGTTAGTCTCTAAGGTGCCACAAGTACTCCTGTTCTTTTTGTGGATACAGACTAACACGGCTGCTACTCTGAAACCTATTAATATGGTCGTTTTTCAGAACAGAACTACTCTTCAAGAGCCCCTGCCTGTAACATACTGAGCTCCCTCAATTCCTATTTACTTTAGAGGGAGAAGAGAGGCGCTCACACTACCCTGAAGGGTTTTTTTCATCCTATGTGACTTGCCCAAAGATACCCATAGAATCTGTGCCAGAACACGATATTGGTTGAAGGTGCTCTAGGGGGATTTTTAAATCCCGCCCTCCAAATTGTAATGTTTAAAACGGTCTGACACGTTTCTTTGGCTTTGCGGGCTTGTAAGAAAAAATGCCAAGCGAACCCGAAATGTTCGGCCTGAACCCCGCGGTCCCGCTCGAGAGCCCGACCAGCTGCTTCCCCCGAGGAGAGCTCCCACACCTGCCTCCTCAGCCTCCCAGCTGTTTGGAACGCGGCCCCTATGACGCCACAAAGCTCCGCCCCATAGGCTCGTTCGGCGCCACCAATCCGAAGGCAGAGTGCCCAGGGAAAGCCCGGCTGCGGCCCCGCGCGCCTGGAGCGCGTGCGCGGGGGGCTCCGCGTGGCTCTATAAACATGGCTGGGGCCCGCCGCGCGGGGGCGGGTCCAAGTGCCGGGCTCCAGAAGCCTAGGGCGCCGGCGCAATAGCGTGAGCCGGCTCTCTGTACCCGGCCGCCTCCGCTGGGGGGGAGGCCCAGCCCAGCCCAGCCCAGCCTGCCCCACGTGTGCGCAGCCGGCAGAGGACGGATGACCATGTGTTTTCGCCAGTGTGGCAGCGGGAGCCTCCCGGAGCAGACCGCACGCCGAGGCGGTGTGTGAGCCCCGGGTCCTGCCGCGCCGCTGCGAGACCAGCCTTCCCCTTCCCGGCTGCTATGCTGTGGGATAACGCGGACGTCCCGGGAAACTCCAACCCTCCCCGCCTTGGTCCCGTTCTCCTCCTCCATGAGCACCTCTGCGGCAGCCCCGGTGAGGGTGATGCCCGCCGGGCACCCTGAGCAGGCAGTGGCGGCTCCTGCAGCGAGCGGGGCCGGTGGGGCTCAGCCGGCACCTGCCCTGCTCTGCTCTCAGAACACGGTGCCCCCTGCTCCTGTCTCCGCTGCTGGCGCTCCCGCGGGGGCCCAAGCAGTTGCCTTGAGCCACGCAGTGACTAAGGTTCCCATCAGCCTGGTGCCTGGCGTTACCCAGCAGTCACGGGTGGTGACTGCCCCCGTGGGGACTCTGGTGGCTAAAGTGGCCACTATCACCGCTGCCCAACAGCCACCCAAGAACTCTGGTGGGCCTAGGCTGGCTGCTCCGCAAACCGTGGCTCCCAAAGCCCCCCAGACCACTACAATACAACTGCCTGCAAACTTCCAGATCCCACCAGGTGAGTCTCCTGCTTTTCTCTTCTACACCCCTGAAAGGCATCGCACTGCTGAAGGACCGCTGTTGTGCTAGGAGAGTTCAGTGCCGTGTGAAACTTCTTTAGCAAGCTGACTACAGTCGTAATGCAAAGTGCTCCACTTTGATCCTGAAGTACTGTTCTAGATTCTTTTGTAAAGCTCTCAAGTAGGAGGAAAAAATCAGGAACGTTTATATCTTTCTGTTTATATGTTCTCATGTATTCATTTAAGAATGGCCATACTAGTCCCTCTAGCTCAGTATCCTGTCTTCTGATAGAGCCCAGCTTGGATACAAAATTTATATCTGTGGCTATAAAGCAGATATCTCTGGAGTTGCCTGGCTCTAGCAACAACCAGCAGGGCCGTGGCCAGTGGACCGGGCCAGGAACTGCAGCGGCAAAAGCAGCAGCAGCATGTCAGGCCGCCACTTGCAGGAGCCAATGCCCAACCCGGGCAGCTCCTCTGGTGTGGCTATACTTCCCCCATCCCTACCCACTGGGGCGGGCACCAGGTTCACCGGCAGCTATCCCTGATCATGCTAAGCCCTGATCATGCTAGTGGTTCTCAACCTGTGGGCTGCTTGCAGCCCAATCAGCACAGAGTTGCAGCTCATGTGGCATCCTCAGGGCCATACAGGTAGGATTGAATGCGGCCCACAATGGTAAATAGGTTGAGAACCACTGCGCTAGTGTGTGCAAGTGGCTCGTGAGCTTCCAGACAGGAGAAGCACTCCGCTGTGTGGAAGGGACTCCTGTCCGGGAGCATGTGAGCCATTTGCTCACAATAGCATAAGGAACAGCTGCTGGTAAGCCTGGTGCCCATCCCAGTGGGTAGGGCTTGGGGGTGGTACAGCCACACCGGAGGAGCTACTCCAGACTAGCTGCTGCAGTTCCTGGCTTGGTCGCTGGCCATGGCCCTGCTGGTGTCACTCGTTGCTAGAGCCCTACAACTCCATGGATATCCACAGCTATCCGCATCCATGGATATACATTTTGAATCAGCGCAGGTGCTTCAGAGAGAATGAACAGAATAAGCAATCATTGACTGATCCATCCCCTGTTGTCTACTCCCAGCTTCTGGCAATCAGAGGCTAAGGGCACCCAGAGTATGGGGTTGCATAGGATCCCTGACCATCCTGGCTAATAACCATTGATGGACCTGTCTTCCATGAACTTATCTAATTCTTTTTTGAACTCCTTTACAGTTTTGTCCTTCATAACTTCCCATGGCAGCGAGTTACACAGGTTGACTCTGTGGTGTGAAGAAGTATTTTCCTTTTTACATTTTCTTTAACCACTGCCCATTCATTTCATTGGGTGACACATCTGGAACTTGTGCTGTGTAGGGGTAAATAACGCTTCCTTATTCACTTTCTCCCCACCATTCATGATTTTATAGACCTCTCTCATATCCATCTTTAGTCATCTCTTTTCAAAACTGAAAAGTCAGTCTTATTAATCTCTTTGAGATGGTGTGACCAGTATTCAAGGTGTGGGGGTACCATGGATTTATATAGTGGCATTGTGCTATTTTCTCCTTTATCATCTATCGCTTTCCTAATGGTTCCTAACATTGTTAGCATTTTTGACTGCTGCTGCGCATTGAGCAGATGTTTTCAGAGAATTATCCACAATGACTCCAAGATCTCTGAGTGGTAACAGCTAATTTAGATCCCATCATTTTGTATATATGGTTGGGATTATGTTTTCCTATGTGCACTACCTTGCATTTATCAGCATTGAATTTCATCTACCATTTTGTTGCTCAATCACCCAGTTTTGTTAGGTCCCTTTGTAACTCTTCACAGTCAGCTTTGGACTTAACTATCTTGAGTAATTTTGTCTTGTCTGCAAACTTTTGCCACCTCGCAGTTTACCCCTTTTTCCAGATCATGTATGAATATGTTGAACAGCTCTGGTCTCAGAACATATCCCCAAGGGACATCACTGTTTGCCTCTCCATTCTGAAAACTGACCATTTCCTCCTACCGTTTGTTTCCTACCCTGTCTTTTAACTAGTTGCTGATTCATGAGAGGATCCTCCCCTCTTATCACATGACTGCTTACTCTGATTAAGAGCCTTTGGTGAGGTACCTTGTCAAAGGCTTTCTGAAAGTCCAAGTACACTATATCCACTGGGATCATCCTTGTCCACAATGTTTGTTGTTTTCCCCTCAAAGAATTCTAATAGATTGGTGAGGTGTGATTTCCCTTACCAAAAGCCATGTTCACTCTTCCCCAATGTGTGTTCATCTGTGTGTCTGATAATTCTGTTCTTTACTACAGTTTCAATCAAATTGCCTAGTACTGAAGTTAGACTTGCTGTCCTTTAATTATCAGGATCCTCTCTGGAGCCTTTTATAAAAATTGGTGTCACATTAGCTGCGCTCCAGTTATCTGGTACAGAATCTGATTTAAATAAGTTACAGACCAAAGGTAGTTCTGCAATTTCATGTTTGAGTTTCTTCAGAATGCTTATGTGAATACCATCTGGTCCTGGTGACTTATTACTGTTGAATTTATCAGTTTGTTCCAGTACTTCCTCTGTTGAGGCCTCAATCTGGGACAGTTCCTCAGATTTGTCACCCTAGAAAGAATGGCTCAGATATGGGAATCTCCCTCACATTTTCTGCAGTGAAGAATTCATTAGCTTGTCTGCAACAATCTTATCTTCCTTGAGTGCTCCTTTAGCACCTCGATTTTCCAATGGCCCTACTGATTGTTTGGCAGGCTTCCTGCTTCTGATTCACTTAAATTTTTTTGCTGTTAGTTTGAGTCTTTGGTTGCTCTTCAAATTCTTTTTTGGCCTGTCTAATTATGTTTTTACACTTGCCAGAGTTTATGCTCCTCTTGGTTTTCCTCAGTAAGATTTTACTTTCACTTCTTTAAGGATGCCTCTTTGCTTCTAACCACTTCTTTTACTTCGTTGGTTAGCCATGGTAATATTCTTTTGGTCCTCTTACTATATTTTTTTAATTTGAGTTATAGATTTGATTTGAGACTCTATTATGGTGTTTTAAAAAAAGTTTCCATGCAGCTTGCAGGCATTTCACTTTTTTGTGACTACTTTTTAATTTCCATTTAATTAGCTTCCTCATTTTTCCCCTTTCTGAAGTTCAGTGCTATTGTGGTGGGCTATTGTGATCTTAGTGAAGTTACTTGATTGCTCTGCCTAAAGTTTCTTGTAAAATAAGGTTAGTTCCCTACCTTGTAGAGGTGTTGTGCAGAAACATCCATTAACATTTGTGAGGTGCTTGGAAAATACTGATGGTGGAAGGGAGAAGAGGACCTAGGTCGATCACCTTTTTGCACACTGAACTGTAGATTAAAAGCTGAACAGCCAGGTGGTGATATTTTCAAATGATAGAATTTAGTTCTGAAATGTTGTTTGGTTCTAGCCACCCTCTCCCAAAAAGCAGATAGCAAAAATAGACTGGATTCAGAGACGTATACCAAAAATGATTGTAGAAAAAGTCTTCATGAAAAGAGATTAAAAGGATTGGAACATGCAGTTTAGGGGGCAGGTGAAGTGACAATATGATATATAGAAGATTGATCAGGTGCTCCACTCACCCTTCCTCATAATATTGCAAACAATGGGTTATTCCTCTTATCAGTGTTAAACTTGCTTTTCTGCCTGCCTCATCGCAAAGCTCTGGATTAGATGACCGCTTAGATAGTCCCTTCCATCCCTACGTTTCTTTGAGTCTGATTCACAGCTTTTTTTTTTAAAAAGTCTGTTCACTGGAATTCACTGCCACTATACATCGAGACCACAAGACTTTAGTGGAATTCAAGAGCTGATGAACACTGATCTAGATTAGATGAAGTTCTTAACATTATAAGGGAAAGAAACAATCATACTTCTGTTGGAGGTTAACTTATGCCCTGAAAGTTCATACCCCAATTGTAGTGAAAAAATATTTGTATTTCCATAATTGTCTACCACCAGGAAAATTCCTATATTAAAAGCATTTGTTACTAACAGTCAGATAGGATACTGGAGCAGATGGGCCACTGATCTGATCCAATATGGTAATTCCTATATTCCTATTACATATCCACAATTTTCAGAACAAATTCAATATCCTGAAATACACTTTATGTATTCTTTTGTATTAAAGAATACTTCACAAAATTCATGTTATGGAACCCTATCAAGTTTAAAAAAAACTAACCTATTTTCATTAGTCAGTTTCACTTTCTGGTTCTCAGACTCCACCACAATGATGTGGTGTTCTAGGTTGTGAGCACATCAAGGACAAGTTTAAATCCTATCCAGCTTTCCATTGAAATGAAACATTGCAGAAGTGTGAGTGTTAGGTTTTGTGAATTCATTTATTAAAAAAAAAAAATCTAAGTTTTGGCCTCTAATAAGGTCCTTTTACTACATACTGATTTTTGACATGAAGATGGGTTTAAGAAGAAAAATTGAAGTGCATGCTCACTAGTGATTATCATAGTTTGGGAACTTTCATATGACTTTAAATCTATTCACTTTCCATGAGTTTTTTCATAACTTGTGTATAATCTGTATTGAAGATGTAGTTTTATACAAGGCTTTTTTTCCTATCAGTTGTCTTTCCTATTTAAGTGAGGAAATAGTGTTGAATATGGTATCTATGGAACTACGCAGATGTCACAAATGCAGCATTACATTGCATCTTCTGTTTGAGCCTGGGATAGGAAAGGGTGAAGCTGAGCTAGGTTTCGGACTGGAGTTGAGGTTTTAATATTTAAAAATATTGCAACTTGTCTCTTAAAAAGCACATGGAGTTTCCTTCTGTGCTACCAGTGTACAAAGTTAGTTAAAACTCAAATGTATAAACATCACTGGGTGATGCACTTTGAATGATTATTTTGATCCTTTAAAAAGAGACTCTTACACTTGAGAAGGCTTTATTCTATTTATGTTTTCTGTCTTCTGGATTTCATTCTTAATTAGCAAAATAAAAGGTTATTCAGGCAGGTAGTTCTGATGCTGA